CCTCAGTCCCAGAGTTCATCTCTCCAGTGAAGCACTTTTGAGGAAGGAAAAGCCCTCTGGACAGGCGAGGAGAGTGCTGTAGCTGCTTGTAACATGTAGCCCTCCGCCCCACTAGTTATGGATTCTGATAGGCTAGATGGGCAGCTGCCAAGTCTGGGACCCAGCAGTTCAAGCCAGTGGGCAATGAGTCTTCCTTTAGTTCTGGGCCCCCAGATGTGAGCAGTGAATTCAGCAGGCAGTTACTGTCCCCGTTCTCTATGATGCAGTGGTGGTGATATTTACATATTATTCAGATTCACGGGAGCCTCATCTCCATCTGGTCTATGTTGGCGGCTTCCACTGTGCAGTCAGAGACCTCTCCCCTGACCACTCTCGAGGGCAGGGGTCACATCTTCCTGGTCTCTTTGTCCTCAGAACCTTGCCTCATGCCTGCCATGAGGCTCCTCAGCGGCTGTGCAATGAATGCTCCTTGCACGAGTGAAATGGGGAATGTGGAATGTGAGAAGCAAACCTCACTGGTGCCCAGGTTTTCTCATCCATCTTCCCAGCAGTTTCTGGGTGCCGCGTTGCTATGCTAAGTCTTCGCATTGCTTCATGTTACCATCATGCTGACTCTGTACCACCTCCTCTGAGGACAGGTCATCTTGGCTGACAGAGAACTTGCAGCCCTACCTGTCCCGAGAGCTGCTGAAGGGCAAAGCTGGGCTTCACACTCAGGTGGGCAGATGCCAGAGCTCCCATACTTGAGTGTTCCATGTTGTTTTCTGCATGCCCTGCATGAAGTTCCCTTGTACAAAGCCTCCACTTTGGAGTTCACTCCGGCTCTGGTCAGGGCCTCAGATAGGTGGGAGGAGGCCATTGCCATGCAAGCGCTGACTCCTGGTTCCATGACTTACCAGCTGCTTGGCTTTGGGCAAATTGCTGTAAATCTCTGTGCTGTAATTGGTTCTTTTATGACTTGGGATGGAGCACCTCTGTTGGGAAGCTGCTAACTAGGCAGTTGCTCCAATTCCTGCCCTGCTTGCCTGGGGCTGTTCCTGCTGGATGGTCCCTCCGGATGGTCCCTGCCTTGCCAAGTGAGCACAGTAGTGGTATGGAGAGGCAGAGCTCACCTAATTAGTGTGGGTGGGCTAGTTTGTCCTTAGCCTGACCAAATTCTTTGTAGGCATCTGATTGCCTGCCAATGCACATGGCTGCCACAGAGTTAATCCACTGCCCCAGGGAAGTTTATTCAGCTGGCTGAGAGGAGCCTGGGACTTGGGGACACATAGTTCCTGTGATTTGCTGCCCCTGTAATCAGGAAACATTACTGCCACATCGTGGGGCACCATGAAGGCATGTGCATTGGCTCAGAACCCACCTCTCTGTCAGGTGGGCCACAGGCCTTGGTGTGGTTGGTCTTGCATGTGGATGTTCAGCCAGGACCCACAGGCTTCTCCCTGCATGAAACCAGGTTAAGGGGGCAGGGGCCTAGACTTAGAGAGCTATTAGCGCAGATTTATACAAGTGTGTGTGTGTGTGTGTGTGTGTGTGTGTGTGCAGGCTCAAGGGGACTTCCCAAAGCTCATGGAAGAACAGAACTAAAAGTAATTTATTTGGTGCCAAACGTTTTTGAAATCCATGCATGCTTTATTCATAATGTACATTTCTCATGAATGATTTGAAGGTCCCTCATATGCAAGCATTTTAATCTTTTTTGGCATCAAAATAAACTTACCCTTTAATTCTATTTTCTGTGAACTTCTTGAAGTATCCTTGTGTGTATTTCTTTATAAAAGCATGATAAAAGCTCATTGCAGAAAATTCAAAAAAATACAAAACCATTTGAAATTATCCATGATCCCATGACTCCAAGCAAACTAATATTAGTGTATAGATATGTTTTCATTTTTTCTACTTGAGTACTTTTATGCATTTGAAATTACATTGTACGTTCAGTCTGGCATCCTGGTTTTTTTTTTTTTTTCCGTGTAACTTGTTTCCATCTGTTCTAATTATAAACTGAATTATAAACCGAACACTGTGACCTGGCCCACGTTATTGTCACTTGTGTCTGCTTCCCCATGCCAGGTCCTGTTCATGGCTGGAGGGGCAGAAATCTGGTGGCAGCTAGTGCTAGAGTGCGCCTGCTGACTGCTGGGCCGGGGTCCCACACTCTGCAGGGCTAGCTCATCCTCACACGGCCTTGGGGAGGGACTACTCACTTAGGACAAGGAGAGAGGGGTTTTTGAGGCGTGGGAGGAATCATTAACACTGCCCAAGTGCTGTTCTAGTCCATGCTGTGTTCTAAGCACTTGGCTTCTATTACCTTGTTGACCTGGCATGACAGCAGATCTTACAGATGGCTAAACTGACAGACACGGATGTTTGGTGGCTCACTTAGGACATGCAGCCAGGGCTGGCAGGTGAGGAGAGATGCCCTGTCCTGAAGCTGGTGCTCCTAACCCTCATGGTGCCTGCCTCTCTCCAGGCAGGTGCTGGGTCTCAGTGTTTGGGGGCTGGTGCCATCCATTGATTGATTGATTGGTAGGAGAATGAGTCCCTTGGATATAGTGTCCTACTTGTCAGGGCATGGAAGGGTTGTGTGTATGTGTGTGGGGGACAAGGCCCACAGGAACGCAGCCCATGAGTGGGGCTGTGGAGGACAAGTGGGACCCCTCTGTGGAGACAGTGGGCCTGGCCCTCTCAACAGAGGCAGCAGGCTGTGCTGGTGGAGGAGAGTTGGCGACATGTGGGCCAGAGTGCCCTCCTGAGGCCCCTCAGTGTGTGTGCTCCTCCTGCTGCAGGAGCGCTTGCTCAGAGCCTGCCCATGCTTCCTGCCCATCCCCGGCTGTGTGAACCGGGCAGCTGACATAGTGGCTGCCATTTACACAGACTGTGCTCTAGAAACAGCTTGGAGAGGATGTTGGGAGGTGAGGTTTTGCAAGGCCTTGGTGTCTTGTCTGACATGGGCTGTGCTTAGGAAGGGGGTGGCTGCTGGTGTGGCTCATGCATAGGCCACGGGGGCAGTCAGCTTGCATTTCCTGTGTTCTTGGGGTCTTGGAACTGGCCCTAGTAAGCAGGGTCCACTTGGCTCTCTGTCACCTGGCATCTCTTATCCATTCCATTCCTGAATGGATTGACCGGGCTAAAAAGCAAAAAAGTGGAGTTCATTAAAATCCATGTAATATCTTTATAGACTTCCTGGATTGCTGGAGGGTCTCGGTTCCATCCGTGGTGCGGGAGGAATGGCATAACTTCTGCCTGGAGCTGCTACAGCACCCAGAGCAGGTGTCCCAGTGTAGTTTGGACCTCAGGGCTGCGGTGCAGACTGGAGAGTAGGAACACACACAGGCTTCAATGATCTTTGTGGGCTAGGGCAGTGCCTTGCCCACTAAGGATGGCTGCTGTGAATGTCTGAAGTCCCCACGTGCTGCGGCTACACAGGAGACAGACCACAAAACCAGTGTGTGAAGGCGGTTTTGAGCATGACATCTGTTAAGCTGTGCCACATACCAAGATTGTGCTGGACACAGCACAGGTCCAGAATCCTCCTCCTTCTAACCATCGCTGGCTTCTCTTCCTCCCCTCAAGTCTCTCTGGGAAGGTTTCCTAGTTCTGCATACCTGGACCCTAGGCTCTGCAGTGCACTGCCCAGGAGCCATGACTGACCCACCCTGCATGTGCTCGGTGTGTCTGTGTCATTCTGCTGGCTGGCCGAACACTGGACCTCACTGCTCAGGGCTGTGCGGCATCTGTGCTTGCCCCTGTGAGCAGGAGGGCAGTGGGGCTGGGAGCTTCTCAGTGGAGCAGAGTTGGAAGCTGACCTTGTGGCACAGCCATTGGAGGTTGTCAGTTTTCCCAGGTGTGCTGGCTGCAGAGAATACTGGGCCCTGGTTGGATGTCTCACATCTCACTCCCAGTTACTAATGAAGGAGGGATGGCCGCTTCCCAGGCCACACTGGGTGTCCCCTGTGTCTCTTCCTGTCCTTCCATAGGGTGCCTTGCTGTGAGTGATGATGACCCCACTCCATTCTCTGCAGAGGTCACCGTGTGCAACCTCTGCACCAGTCCCCGATGCAATGATGATGCCCCCTGCCCTGTTCTCTGCAGAGGTCACCATGAACAGCTTCTTTTTTTTATTTTTTGACAAGCAGAGTGGACAGTGAGAGAGAGACACAGAGAGAAAGGTCTTCCGTTGCCATTGGTTCACCCTCCAATGGCCGCCGTGGCCAGCATACCGCGCTGATCCGATGGCAGGAGCCAGGTGCTTCTGGTCTCCCATGGGGTGCAGGGCCCAAGCACTTGGGCCATCCTCCACTGCATTCCCTGGCCACAGCAGACAGCTGGCCTGGAAGAGGGGCAACCGGGACAGAATCCGGCGCCCCGACCGGGACTAGAACCGGATGTGCTGGCACCGCAAGGCAGAGGATTAGCCTAGTGAGCCGTGGTGCTGGCCACCGTGCACAGCTTCTGCCCCAGCCCCCGATGCAGTGTCTGTCTCCCCCATGCTGTCTGCAGACAAACCGCAGCTCAGGATTTACCATTCTGCACGGTGCTCCAGGCCCAAGGCTGCTTCCTCGCTGGCCCTGCCTGAGGCTCTGCTCTTAGCTGTGTGTTTCTAATTCTGGATTCCTTTCTCTGAAGCAGTGTCCCTGCTTAACATGGGTCTGTTTCCCTCACAGCAGTACAATACAGAAAATGTTCATGGTGGAGAAACTTAGCTTCACTTGCCAGAGCCACAGGCCTTCATTTCGTCTGCAGATCCCGCGGCTCCCCAGGAGGGACGGTGGCCTGGCCTTGGGCCTGTGCCTGGGTGTGACGCATTCTCCCTCCTCTTTGTGCCTCATGGCCTCTTCTGATTCAGGGCTTTTCCTAGGACTTTGCTTTCTGACATCTTGAGTGGTTCTCACTTTTGTTTTTGAGCGTGTGCCAGAATTTCCTAGCTGGGTTGGTGTCAGTCTCATTGTGCCTCTGCTCTGCCATCACCATCAACATCGCTATTGTTGTTATCATTGCAGAGAAACTGTATGGCAACTTCCTGAGCTGGAAGCTGGAAGAAACCCTTGCCCAGTTCCCCCTGCAGCCTGGGCAAGCAGCCACCTTCACTGTCACCATCAAAGCGAGCCTGGACTTCTCCTGCCAGGAGGGTGTCCTGCAGGACCTGAGTGACGGTAAGTGGCTCCCTCATTTCTGAGAGCTCACCTGCTCCCAGGTGTGTGTTGTAGTCAGCTCTCTGTGGCACCCACCACCGGTCATGTGACTCGCTCAACCGAGACCTTGCCCCTGCACTTGGTTAGCAGCGTGACTTACTGCAGGCACATTATAGAGACAGTTTCTCAATTCCCACTCTTGACCATCTTGTCCTGATGTGCTAGGTGGTTGTCCTGAGGGAGTGGAATGCTGTGATTTTTCCCCCAAGTGTACCTGCTGTTTTGGTGGGACACACAGTGGTGATGATGGAGTTCTCCCATCTGGTGATGCCAGTAAGGAGACAGAGCTGGGGGCAATGGGAATTGTATCTGCTGCAGCACCAGGCCTGGCCGCGTGGGGACGTGAGTTCACGGGTTAGCTGTGTCAGGTTGTCACATGCTCTTATGGAGGCCTTGGGGGTGTGTTAGTCAGCTCAAGCTACTGTAACAAATGCCACACCTGGCCTGGCCTGACCACAGGCTTTGATTTTGATGGTTCTCAGCATTGCAAGTCTGACCCAGGTGCTAGCATGGTTGGGTCCTGGTGAGGGCGGCCATCTTCTTGCTGTGTTCTCATGGGGTGGAGACAGATCAGCTCTCTGGTATTTCTTCCCCTTTCTTTTATTTTTTTAAGATTTATTTATTTACTTGAAGGGCAGTTATGGGTGTGGGATGAGGGAGACACACAGGGACACATGTACATGCCCACACACACACAAACACACAGAGAGGGGAGAAGAAAGATTTTCCACCTGCTGGTTCACTCCCCAAGTAGCCACAATGGCTGGGACTATGCCTGGCAGAAGTCAGGAACCTGGAAAACCATCTAGGTTTCCAGTGTGTGTGTCAGGGGCCCAAGCTTGGGCCATCTCCTGCTCCTTTTCCAGGCATGTTAGCAGAGAACTGGATCAGAAGTGGAGTAGCCAAGACATGAACTGGTGTTCACATGGGGTGCTGGGGACACAGGCGGTGACTTAACCACCTGTGCTGTAACACCAGCCCCAGTAAGAACATTTCAATCCTGTGTTTTAAGGACTTTAGAGTCCTCGTATACAGTGCATGACTTTCATCTCCATGAACATGCTGTGAATGACAGACCTTCCTGTGGGTGTTTTGAGTCTGGGTATTCCTGGGTGTGTTGCAGCTGCTGTTCCTTGTCCATTCACCTGCCAAGAGGCATTTATGCATTTCCATTGTCTTGGCTGTGGTGAGCAGTGCTGCAGTGGACATGTAAGTGAAGACATGGCTCTGCCATATACATATATGTATTCTTGTATATATCACATACACACATATTCACATGCACAAATCACATACATATACACATGCATATCACACACATACATGTCACACACAGATATCACACACATGTACATACACACATTACATACATGTACATATACACCTTACGTGCACATGTACATAAATCCAGATGTGGGCTGGTGGGGTCGTGGGAGAGCTTGAGTTGTTTTTAGCCTTTAGGGACCCTCCGTGCTTGTTTTCAAAATGCTGTACTGACTGACGTTCCCCTGAGAAGTGTGCTAGATCCTTCTTTCTGCACCTGTGGCCTGGGTCTTTTGGTAATAGCGAGTCTGGTGGAGTGACATGCTGTCTTATATGGTTTTATTTTTATTTATCTATTTTAAAGCTATATATGTTTATTTGAAAGTTAGAGTTGGAAGAGAGAGGGAGGGACAGAGCGAGGGCTCTTTCATCTGGTGGTTTGCTCCCCAGATGGCCGCAATGGCCAGAGCTGTGCCAGGCCAAAGCCAGGAGCCAGGAGCTCCTGGATGCAGGGGCCCAAACACGTGGGCCGTCCTCCACTGCTTTTCCCAGCTCATTAGCAGAGAGCTGGATCGGAAGGGAAGCGAATGGGACAAAAACCAGTGCCCATGTGGGATGTAGCATCTCAGGTGGCAGCTTACCCACAGTGTCACAACACTGGCCTCTCTGTTGTGATTTTAATTTGCATTTCTCTGATAATTGGAGATGGTTACTTGTATGTCTTCTTTCGAGAAGTGTCCATTCAGGGGATGTTTTCTTGTTACTGATTCATTTGAGTTCTTTGTATTAAGATAGTAGCCCCTCACCTGATAAATGATTTCAAATATTCTCTCAGTGTGTGCATCAGTTCTCTACTCTGTTGCTTGCTTCCTTTGCTTGGAGAAGGATTTTCTTGTATGCAATCTCATATATCTATTTTTTGATTTTGCCGCCCATGCCTTTGGTGTCACATCCAAGAAATTACTGCTCAGATCAATGCCATGGACCTTTCCCTCTGCATTCCTCTAGTCATTTTAGAGTTTTGGGTCTTATGGTTAAGAATTTATTTACTTATTGGGATATGTGTTTATGTATGTGTGAATGTGTACATATATAGACATCAAATCTCTAGAAGAAATCACTATCACAGGCATTTTTCTTTTATTTTATTTTATTTTATTTTATTTTTTTTTAATTTTATTTTTGACAGGCAGAGTGGACAGTGAGAGAGAGAGACAGAGAGAGAAAGGTCTTCCTTTGCCGTTGGTTCACCCTCCAATGGCCGCAGCTGCAGCCGGCGCACCGCGCTGATCCGATGGCAGGAGCCAGGATCTAGGTGCTTTTCCTGGTCTCCCATGGGGTGCAGGGCCCAAGCACCTGGGCCATCCTCCACTGCACTCCCTGGCCATAGCAGAGAGCTGGCCTGGAAGAGGGGCAACCGGGACAGAATCCGGCGCCCCGACCGGGACTAGAACCCGGTGTGCCGGCGCCGCAAGGTGGAGGATTAGCCTATTGAGCCAAGGCGCCGGCCTATCACAGGCATTTAATTTATTTTCATCTTATTTGAAAGTCAAAGGAGGTTGAGAGAGAGATAAAAAGAGAGAAAGAGAGAAAGAGAGAGAGAGAGAAAGAGAGAGAGAGGGAGGAGAGGGATCTCCCATTTTCTAGTTCACTCCTACAATGCCCAAAACGGCCCCAGGGCTGAAACTAGGAATTAGGAACTAAATCCAGGTATCTGACATTGGTGGCAAGAACCCAGTTATTCGAGCCATCACCACTGCTTCCCAGGGTCTGCCCTGGCAGGAAGCTGGAGTCAGGAGCCTGAGCCCTGATGTGTGACATGGGTGTCCTAAGCACTAGGGCAGATGCCATCCTTTAGAAGGTGTGTGGCACAAGGACCCTGTCTCGTTCTGTCCTGTGTTCCCAGCGTTTTGGCCGTGACAGGCAAAGGGCTTTGTGTCTTGTGGTGTGGATCATGAACGGGTCCTCTTTCTCCTGCTTCTCCCCTGAGTGGGTGGGTTCTGAAGTTGTGTTCCTGTTCTTTCTTGTGAGCATGTCCCCCTCAGAATTGCCCCCAGCTTCTCTGGGGAGTTGTTGAAGATCTCAGAGTTCTCATCCGCGCGTCTGTGGCTCAGCTCCCTGCATGGCCATTCCATTTGCTTTCCTGTAACAGGGAGCTTGTTGGGGTCTCTCCTGCTACTCTGTGTTGGGCAGCTGGGGCTGCTGGAGCAAAGCACCACAGGACAAGTGGCTCAGGCAGCAGAAATTGCTTTCTCACGTCTGGAGACTGGGAAGGCCGAGACCACAGTGCTGGCAGAGTGTGTTTCCCGCTCGCTGTGTCCTCACTTGGAGGAGGCCGGGGGGAACTCTGGTGTTTCTACCTCTTCTTATCAGGGGGAGACCCCACCCTCCTGAGCTTAGCCACCCCGGCCACCACCCAAAGGCCTCGCCTCCTCATGCCCTCGCCTTGGGGTCCAGGGCCTCAGCACCTGGATTTTAGAGGGACAGACAGTTCAGTCCACGGCAGCCTGCATAGAATTTGCTGTCTCTCTGCAGTGTTTGATGAACCATCAGGAAGTTCCTTCGGCTTGTGCTGGTGCTTAAGAAAACAATTTCTTTATGTTGTTCACAAGCAGGCTTAGCACTGGGTGCGTTAGCAATGGAGAAAGTCAAGGGGATGACTTACCAGGCTTCAAGCATCAGATGCGGTGGATTTTCTCGGTTTGTGCGGTGCTCTGTGCCTCTGCACTGCGTGTTCCTCTCAGTGGGCAGTGGGTAAACAGATCCCGAGTTCTCCCCCAGAAGGGAGTTGGGCATAATGAGTGGTGCCCAGGGCCAGGGTCCTGGGCAGGCTCAGCAGTCAGACTCCCAGTGGGGATTATTTGTGAGCAGCAGGGGGCAGTACCACGTGTAATGTCGTTGCCTAGGAACAGCATACAAGCTTCCAGTGGACATCTGAGCTCTGTGGGTTTTGGTGGCACCTTCAGTGTTCGATACTGACCTGCTTGGTGGTGTCTTTGCCTTGGTGTCTGTCATGGGAGAGGCTCAGGCATTCCCTCTGCCATCCTAAGTGGAGAACAAAGTGGCAGTTTGTGGCTCACATGTGGGAACACCTTCCTCTGGCTTTTGAAATAAAAGCAAATCAGAACTAGCATTTTGGATACCCTGTGGTTTGTAAATGCAATGAGGGAGCCACACACCTATGTGGGACAGGACATGTGTGTGTGTGTGTGTGTGTGTGTGTGTGAGGCCCCCCTTGCTGATCATGGTTAACAGAAGTGCAATGCTGATTGTTTGCACAGAAAAAGGCAGAACAGGCCAGGGTCATGGGAGAGCAAGATGGAAACCCAAGGACCATGGGGATTTTGGTGCAGGCTGTGAATTATCACTTGCAGTTCTACCTGTGCAGTCACGAGGCCACTGTGAAGCCCTCGTCTAGGGAAAGCTTCAGGCTCGGGGGCAGAGGCTCATCTGTGGTTCCTGCAAGCAGGAGCTGACCCTGCAGTGGCTCTCAGTCTGCCCCTCTCAGAAGCATTTAACTGGGGAGTTAACTCCATTTAACTGTGGGCCCCGTTTGCTCCTTGGCAAGGACTCACACGAACTCAGGCTTCTGGAATGAGGTGTTGCTGTTTGTTTTGCAGTAGGAGGTTGTGCTGGGCTCTTTCTTCCTGTGATTCCTGTTCACTGTCCCACCAACAAGTACAGCAGAGAGCAGGCTG